TTATTCAGAGATTTAACAGTGGCTTAAGGGGATGCATGTGGGTGCCAAGCTGTTGAGGGGAGTACTGGTGATGATTGGTTTTATGTATCAACTTGACTGGCAAAGGAATACCTCGAGATTTGGCAAAGGATTATTTCTGGGTGTGTCTGTGGGGTGTTTCCAGAGAAGGTTGACTGTGAGTCAGTGGAGCGAGTGGGGAGGACCCGCCTTCAGGGTGAGTGGGCTCCCTCCAATCAGCTGGGGACATAAGTAGAATAAAAAGGCCATTTCCTCTGTCCTAGAGTGGGGATACACTCTCTCCTGCTCTTGACATTAGAATTCCAGGCTCTCCATTGTTTGGACCCCAGGACTTCCACCAGTGGTACCGGGCTCTCAGGCCTTCAGCCTCAGAGTCGCACCATCGTCCACCCTCGCTCCGAGGCCTTGGACTTGGACTGCAGCACTCAGCCAGCTCCTGTTTTCAGACGGCCTGTGGTGGGACTTCTCAGCCTCCGTAATCGCGTGAGCCAATTCCCCTAAGAAATCCCCCTCGTGTATCTCTATGTATCCTGTTGGTTCCTTCCCCAGCACCCTGACGGAAACACCAGGGAGGCTGGGAATCTCTCAGTGTGTGCTCGGCTTGGCCCCCAGGGACAGCAGAGGCAGCAAGCACATGCCCCTGCTTCCATGGATGGTGACTCGTGACCCCAGGCGCAGGCAGTCCTGGCCAACGTGGTAAAGAGGGGGGCAGATTAGAGGTCAGCCCACCTGCTCCTCTCCCCCTCCTCCTGGCTCTCTGTCAAGCCTTCCGTCTGATTCCATGGGATGGTGACAGCTGGCTGGCGGTGGTGCCTGGATTATCTTGGTCAGGCTGCCATACCAACACAGCACAGACCCGGGGATCACAGGCATTTAATTCTCAGGGCTCTGGAGACTGCAAGTCCAAGATCAAGGCATTGGCAGGGCCCTCCATCCTGAGGCCTCCCTCCTTGGCGCACAGATGTCTGCCTTGTTTCTATGTCCTTCCACTCTGCACGCACACCACCAGTGTCATTTGTGTCATTTGTGTCATACTCTCCTCCTCTTAAAAGGACAGATTAGGATTGGATTAGGGCCTACCCTCTGGACCTTGTTCTAGCTCAATTGCCTCCAGAGATTCCATCTCCAAAGACAGTCCTCTTCTGAGGACCAGGGGTTAGGAGGCCAACATACGAATTTCGGGGGCCACAATTCAGCCCATGACAGAGGCTGACTGCAGACACATCCTTGAGTCTTCCTTCACCACAATCAGCAAGTGGGAATTTCACTTCCTTAAAAATCAAATATTTTAAAGATTAGAGACTTGAACTTAATGAGAACCTGATGTTTGACTTTCAAAAACAAACTAGATCTCTCCAGGCCCGGGGGGCCAGTGTGTGAGCACCCTCCCCCGTGGGGCTGTTCCCTGGAAGGTTCTTTCTCTGCTGCACCTGAGAACCACCCTGGGAGCTTTTGTGCATCTGGAACCCAGGCCCTCCCCACCACTAGGTCAGAATCCAGGGTTGGAGCCCAGGACACCAGTAGTTAGGAATCTTCCCTCCCTCAGGTTGTTCCAATGTGCAGCCAGGAGAGGACAGCCTGGGGGGGTCTGGTCCAGACTGCAGACTTTGGGGCCCTAGAAGGTCTCGTTGGATTTCACAGCTCCCTGCAGTCACTGAAATCCAGAGGGACTTCCAGGCTCTAGCCTACTCCCTTGGTGACCAAAACCCTAAAGGACAAGGAACACAGAGAAAGGTCTCGGGACACAGCAGTCACTGAGCGGTCTCTGTGAGGCCTGGGAGCATCGTGGAGCTCCGCTGCTGGGACAGGAAGACACACTGAGCATCCTGCCTGTCAGTTACAAATGACTGAGAGGAAACGCCAGGAAAAGCCAAGAAAAGCAGAACCACGGCTCATTCCTCAACCATGTTCCAGAGGATCCCAGTGGCCAGAGAAGCTGGGAAGCACTCCTAAGTGGGACAGGCAACCTCATGACCAGGAGGCCCAAACTAGTCAAGACTTTGCTTCTTTGAAAAGGGTCAGAGCCCCACCTCCAAGAGGCCTTTTCTGCCCTGAGAACTCACAAACCTTCAAAGCCCTGTGAAAAACACCAGCTCATCTTCCATCATTCTAGAGAAGCTTCTTTTTTTTTTTTTTTAATATTTATTTTTTAGTTTTCGGTGGACACAACATCTTTGTTTGTATGTGGTGCTGAGGATCGAACCCGGGCCGCACGCATGCCAGGCGAGCGCGCTGCCGCTTGAGCCACATCCCCAGCCCCCTAGAGAAGCTTCTAATCATGTCCACAGCACGGGCACCAACTGAGGCCTCTGAGCACCTGCACTGGGCAGAGGCCATTCTTCTCATGCATTGGGAAGGCAGTGTCATCCCTCAGGGGACCTGGTGAGAACCCAGCTGATCAGCTTGAGAGGATCCTTCCCAGCCTCTGAAACCACAGGGCATTCCTCCCTGAACACCACTGAACCCCCAGTGGTGAGGGGCCCTCCCACTGAAGTCCAGAAAGGGAATGAGAGTCTGGTGCCAGGGACACACCTCCACGCTGCTCTACCCACGAGGGAAAATCACAACATCTGCCTTCTCAAGTAGGTGCAAGGCCCCTCTCCTCCGCTCAGGCCTTTCACAACAGGGGATGTCCTGAGAGTCCCTGGCGATGGCCTAGAGTGAGGGCTTAGTCCAGGTGCTGACATTAGCAGTTATTAGAGAATGGGCCTCTTCTCCCAGGACTCAGGGTGAGGCTGATCCAGGACCCAGCCCGGATGAGGAAAAGTTAGATGCTTCAGGGACACGATTCCTCATCTGGGAAAAGGAATTATAACCAGGACTTTCTCTGCTGGGAATGTGGCTCTCACGCATGAAGCCTTGGGTTCAGTCCCCAGCACTGGAAAAAAAAAAAAAAACAGAACAAGGCCTTTCTCAGACGATTGCTGTGAGGATGCAATGAGATCCTACGGGTCAGGCTCTTAGAGCAGGGCCTGTCTGGTGGCCAACAGAATCTGTGTTAGCTCTGGAACTCAAAGCGCCCGGCAGGCGCCCCCTCAACACAATCATCAGTGATGTCAGCTTCTCTGTGGCTTCAGAGCCTGCTCCGATTGGGCCTGGGCTGCCCCTTCTCCAAGATAAGCTTCTGAGGCTTCTCCTGGGAAGCATATTTCCATTGCAGCCATTGGGCAGGAAACGTCTGAGCTTGGAGACCACCAGTCAGAATCTGAATTATACCAGCCAGATTCCGTACAGCTTAAACAAGAGGCAGGCAACTATTTGAGTGCCAAGAAATTCTAATCCCTATAAAAATTTAATTTTTCAGACTTGAACCCCACCTTCTAGGATAAGTTATAATGCCACTGAATTGGTAAAAGTCATACTTGAGGTCTAATATTTGTTTGAAGGTGTTTTTTTCAAGTATGGAAAAATACTTACATGGGTAAGCGTGACAAACGTACCAATATGTTGGGTCGTTTCTTCTCAAACACCAATCTATCATAGGCACAAAAGGAAGCCAGTTTGGGAGGCCCTGGCATGGATGATGCCTACTGCAGGATTATCTCTAGGACGAAACAAATCCCCAGCCCAGTGTCACCAGGGCTCTGTGAGGGGCGGACGTGGATGTTGGTGTTCATTCATTCTTCAGCCAACTTGGAATTTCCCTCGTGCACATCATAGGACCCTCTAACTGTAGAGAAGAGCTGAGCAGCGGCCTGCGTGTCAGTCACTCCTTCAGGCTCCCTGCTGTGACACCCACCTCCCTTTAGCAGGAACACAAGGCCTCAATCCTCCCCTCTCCTCCCCTTACACAGCGCACACAGGCTAAAGCTTGCAAAACAAAACAGCCGAATCCTAGTAGGCACAAATGAACGTGCTGCCGAGCCTGGGCACAGACCTCAAAGCCCAGCGCCGGCTGCTCCCAGGCCGGCCCCACCCAGCGCTGAGCTCTGGATTCCCGGGCTGGCGAGGGATCCCAAGTAATTCGTGGGCCTCGCCCATCCCTCCACTCAGAAGGATAATATGTGACCATACAGTTTTCCTCGCCATTTATAAAATCCCACAGCTTTTGGCAAGGAAAGAAGGAGGAGGAAGAGGACAACAAAGAGGAGGAACAGGAACAGGAGAAGGCGAGGAGGACCCCAAGCTGGAGAAGGAGCCCCGAGGGGCACCTCCGTGGTGAGGAGCCCGACTGGAATGTGGTGGCTCAGACAACCTGAGGATTCTTGCCAGCCGCTGCTTCTGAGGCTGATCAGGACGCACTTGTCAGCTAGTCCCTTCAAGCTTGTCCCTTGGGTCCTCGGCCACCTTCCAGACCCAGTGCTGCAAGGGGCCAGTTGCTCTGAGACGAAGAGCCCCGGCCCGGCACTCACCGCTGTAGCACACAGGAAGCTGAAGAGCAGATGGCAAGAGGAGGGGTCGGAGCCAGTGAGGGTTAAGCCCAGACCCAGTGACCTGAGACTTTGGCCTCAGTGAAGCTTTTACTGCTGTCACCAATCTGCCTGGAGCCTCCCTTCCTGGTACCTGCTGACGATGGGCCTGCAGGGCCCTCTGCCACCCAACCCCACTCCTTCATCTTATCAGCCTTGTTAACACGACTTCCGTCCCACAAGAGCTGGCCTCACTGCTCCACCCTGTCCCCCTCCCTGACCTTCTAAACCCAAGCCCAGGCTGCCTCATAAATTGCGGAGCTCAGAAGAAAATGAAAACCCAAGGCCTCCCTGAAAAGCCCAGGGTGGTGAGGCCCCAACCTCAGAGCACCACATTAGCTCAGCCCTCCAAGGTCGGGACCTGGGGAGACCAGGAGGCCTCACTCAGACACGCCCAGTGGTCCCTGCACTAAGGGCCTGTGAGGTTGCATGCAGACTCTTCCCCGAGGCCCTCCCTTGCCCATCCTTGAGGCCATCCTAAGTGTGTTATCAGAGTCTTAGGTCAGACTGTGGGAGTCCCAACAGAGCAGGCTCGGCCCCCCCTGCCCCCAGTTGACCAGACAGGAGACCAGCAACAGTAAAGCAAAAAAGGGTTTATTCTCAGCACCGCCCCATGGGGAAGACAGGTCTGAGTGCTGTCTTTGGGGTGTCGGCAACAGCTTTGGGGTAAGGCAAGAGCTGAGGGGATTTGCAGAGCTGGCCATCTTGGTCAGGTCGGGTCTGGTTGATCATGACCCTGGCACTGGTCCTGCAAGGTCTCGTCACCAGGGGAACCGCTGCTGCCTGAGAGGTAGTTTCAATTTCCAAGTTTCCATCCCAGCGTAGATACTTGTCTATCCTGTGATCCTGGAATCAAGGTAAACCAAAGGTGAGAATTATTCAGAAAGGAACAGGTCAGGGAGAGACAAAATGGTCAATGAGGAGGAGAAACAGGAACAGGAGAAGGAGAGGATAAGCCTGGGACAGGGAGGAATCCAGAGCTACTTAGGAGTCAGAACAGATAGAGCTTCATAGTGGATTAGGTACCTGCAGGAGGCCAGCCTCCATTCCTCTAAGGAACTTCAGTCTTTGTCATTCTGTAGCGTTAGTTTACTGCTGGTGGTGTCTGTAGTCAACTACAGATGGACAGGGCCCTGCTGGCCAGCAAGACCACGGCTTCCCCCAGCAGGACCCAGCGCAGGCTGCCTGTGGTTTTGGAAGCCTTGATTCCTGATGTGGCCAACAGCTCACTCTGGCGGAAAAGAGAGACACTTGAACAGAAAACAAAGATCTTTAAAAAGAGAGAAGGATGCATGAGACACTTTCTTCAGCAAGTTAATCTGTTCCTAAAACAGATGTGAACTAAAAAGTCTCCAATCTTATGGAACAGAACAAGAAGAAAAATCTAGAATTGCTAATTGGTACTCACTGCAACTCCCCGCCCCTCCAGGACTCCAGGAGGCCCCTGTGTTACATGTTTGCATCCTCCCACCCAGACCAGTGGCCAGGGTGACTGTGGTCATAGGGTCGTAAGAGTGAACGTTGAGTGAGGGGTTTCTATGGCCACAACACCAGTTAAGTGCCTTACAGTCATCTGATCTCCTTTGATCCAGTCAATAACTTTATCATACCTTGATCATCTGTTAATGCTCCTCATTTTATATATTTTTATTAGTGATATGGATTTTTATTGGTGCCTGATAATTACACATAATAGTGGGATTCCTCGTGTCAAGCTCGTACATGCACAGAACAGAATTTTACCTCCCTTTCCTTTCCTCCTCCCTCCTGTGGTGCACTTGCTCCGATCCTCTCTAATATCTCCCTTCTAATATTATTATTATTATTATTATTATTGTTTTAATTAGTGCATTATCACTATATAAATATATATGACTCATCGTGCTGTGTTCCTACATGCACACAGCATAACGTGGTAGACCATTCCCCGTACTTCCCTCCCTCCTCCCTCCCTCTCAATTCCCTTCCTCTACTGTTTTCCCTTCTATTTTTGTGAGATACTTCCCTTCCCCCCTTTCTCTCTCTCTCTCTCTCTCTCTCTCTCTCTCCTGTCCACATATGAGAAAACACATTTGAACTTTGACTTCCATCCCAGCATTTCTGCCCAAGGGCTCCAGCAGCCTAAGTGTTCTCGGGGCCTCTCGTCAAGGCCTCTTCCTCCTAGGTCTCCTTGGGTTCCCTCAGGTCTCGCTTTACTCCACAGTTCAGGGGCCCAGGCCACCCGCGTGCTCATAGCCTCTCAAGGCCAAGCCGACAGTCCTACCCAAAGCCTTGACACAGCAGGGACCAGGCAGGGAGGTGGGAAAGGGACACCCCTGCAGGATCTGAGGGGTGTTGCTCTTGCGCTTGTCTCCCTCCTGGGAATCAGGTTCAGAAGCTCATCCCACAGGAACGCCAAAGTCCAGGGACAGTGTCCAGATGAAGTGTCCCAACGGACAAGCACAGCAGGCTGGGAGGAGGCTTAGCAGAGGGAGGAGCTCTGGAGGGCTGCAGAGGCAGGACAGGAATAGTGAGGGAGGGCACAGGCTGGCTCACCAAGGAGGGGAGTTCCTGCCTCTCTGGGGACAGGCAGAGACCTTTCAGGAACGCCAATGCCACCTCTTATCATTCCTTTTGTGTCCTGGTATTTCTGGCCGTGGCCACGGGTAGCTGTCTTCAGCCTTTGAAGAGGGAGGAGAGAGGCTAGGCAAGAGGTCAAGTTCACCCTGAACTCTGGACAAAACGTCCCTCAGATGACCAACATGTCTACACACAGAGCTGAGTAGAATCTAACCCAGAGGTTAAGGCAGCAAAGGACACAGCACAACATGAAGACAGAGAGGCCACACCTTTCCAGCCATCCCGTCACCCATGGACATCTGCAGGCCCAAGTGAGAGCCCCCATTTATAGCAAAGTGGCCTTCAGGTCCCTAAAGAGTTAACCATCCACACCGTAGCCCACACATCAGAGGTGGGAGACCAATACTGTGCTGCCCACCGTGTGATCTCCAAAGTTGGCGCTTTTTAGGACGATTAAGCAGGTGAACCTAGAGGATCTGCTTAGGTTTTTCCGATAACAACCCCAGCACAGCCCGGGCAGTGCCTCTGCCCAGGAAGTAGGAACCTGGAGCTGGGGGGAAGGCTGGGCCGGTCACGGGGTTCCACACTCACTGTCTGCCAAACCCAACAACCAGGATTTCAGACTCCAGAAGGGAAGCGGGAGGGGTTCCTACACCTCCC